CCAACCCCCTGCTCAGGCAGGAGACCCTAGACCAGGGGTAGGCCACCTTGGCTCTTTTATGACTCATGGACTTCAACTCCCAGAATTCCTGAGCCAGCCATGCTGAGGGGAAAGGGAGAGGTTTCCCAGCTGGGCCATGCTGGCTCAGGAATTCTGGGAGTTGAAGTCCACCAGTCATAAAAGAGCCAAGGTTGCCTACCCCGGCGCCTAGACCATTTCAGAAAATGTCTGTTCGGCCTATAATCTAACCATCTTCTTTATTCATGTTGGAAGCACCTACAAATTATACACATACAACGCTCAACCCCGAGCAAAATAAAATAGGGGTAAAATAATCTATAACCTAACCGTGAGCCTGAAGAAAGAGCTGCGAGATTGTTTTTGTCTGTTTAATGTCGTACCCTATGTGCCTGCTTTTTTATCTCTCTCCCCCATCCCTCTTTCTCCCTTCCCCTCTGCCAGGCAGATGAATGTTCTTGTTTAAATCAGTCTGTTTGAAAGACTGTTTGGGAGTGGAGAAAGGAAAAAAAAAAGATTCCCCGGAGAACACATTACCTTGCCTTGTTTATAATCCAATCCAATTGGCTTATCTCAGAACTGACTGGAGACCAAAATCACTTCCCCCCCAGCTATCGGTATCTTGCAGGTTGCTACGATACACAATCAAGTTTGGTTATTTTTGATTATTGCTTTGCTGGCTTGTGTATAGCTAACAAAATTACACGATGCCTTTGGAAGCCCATGCCTGTTCTTTCCTTTGTCGGCGAACGAACATAAGGCATAAATATTCTCAAGGGTCTTCCCAGGGCAGAAGGAGGGACCTCTGAGTCCTCAGCTGCCTCTTGCCAAGGGTGGGAGGGGGTTTCTGACCGAGGAGGTGGGAAGGTTTCTGGAGAAGAAGACACTTGGGACAAGCTTAGTAGTGCCTGATGTAGGGTTGAAAGAATGAAAAGGAAAAAGGCTTCCTTGATTTGCCTTACAGTGGGATGTTGGAGGAAGGGAAGGGAAGGGGGAAGGGAGGGAGGGAGGGAGGAGAGAAGAAGAAAAAGGGAGGGAGAGATGGGAGGGAGGGAAGGAGAGAAGGGGGAAGGAAGGAAGGAAGGAAGGAAGGAAGGAAGGAAGGAAGGAAGGAAGGAAGGAAGGAAGGAAAGATGGGAAGGAGAGAAGGAAGGAAGGAAAATTTGGTCTAACAAAATAACAGGAGGCATCTTATGAATATATGAGGAGATAAAATAAATTTCTTACTTTCCTCGGAGAGGAATGATGTTGTTTCCAAAGCATGGTTCTTCTTTTTTTTACTTTTCATCTTGAAAAAGAGATGGATGGATGGATGGTTTGACTGACAGACAGATAGAGGTATACTCTTCCATGAAAAATTGGGTCTAACAGAATAACACCATTGGAAGGGACCTTGGAGGTCTTCGAGTCCAACCCCTTGTTCAAACAGGAGACCCTAGACCTTTTCAGACAAGTAGTCATCCAGTCTCTTCTCGAAAGCCTCCAGTGATGGAGCACTCACAACTTCTGGAGGCAAGTTGTTCCATTGGTTAATTGTTCTATCAGGAAGTTTCTCCTTAGTTCCAGGTTGCTTCTCTCCTTGGTTAGTTTCCATCCATTGCTTCTTGTCCTGCCTTCAGAAGGCACTTTGGAGAATAGCTTGTCTCCCTCATCTTTTAGGAGCCAGTAGAACAGGAGGATGCTGGTTTTTGATTCAGCAAGCTCAGGTTAATAAATTCCTGGCCCGCTGAGGAAGTTCTTTGGTCTCTCTCTGGCTAAACTACTTTACAAAGGGGTTGTAAGGAAGCCACGAGCTTGCAGATCAGAATCGGAAAGTGAACCGAGGAAGAAGAAGAAGAAGAAGAAGAAGAAGAAGAAGAAGAAGAAGAAGAAGAAGAAGAAGAAGAAGAAGAAGAAGAAGAAGAAGAAGAAGAAGAAGAAGAAGAAGAAGAAGAAAGAAAGAAAGAAAGAAAGAAAGAAAGAAAGAAAGAGAAAGAAAGGACACAGTCAAAACAAATGGAACATTTGCCTGTCAATAAACTGATGAAGGTGAGGTTACAGGAGCTGATAGTTTATCTCCACTCTCTGACCTTTGAATTCTTATTTGCTGGGTGACTTTCTTCTCCGAGAATTGGGGCTTGCCATTCCGATAAACCCTGGATAAATCATGGACTCTTTAAAAAAAAACCTTCAGAGGGAGGTTTTACTGCATTATCTTGACCACCCAGCAGAAGCCTTCAAAGGCCTGGCAAATTGCTAGCCTATCTTGTAAGCTGATGCTATCTGGAGAAACTTTATAGCTGCAGAGCCTGTGAAATTAGACGCCCAGATTGTGGTGACCTCAAAGGCCTGACAGTTCGAGAATCGCTCAGCCGCTTCCTCCCTCTCGCTCTCTTTTTCCCCAGTTTTCTCCCTTCCTCGATGTTTCTAAAACACAGTTCTCCACCTTTCCTTGCTCAGTAATGTCAGGAGGCACTTAAGCTCCCAATTGCTGCCATTTCGCCATCTCTGGTTCTTCTTTGTTGGTTGGAGGTTGATGAGGAGAGGAGAGAGGACTTGAAACTGTTAATCAGAATTTCATCTCTCTGCTTCTTGAGAAACAACCTCCAAATGGCCCCTCTTTTTCCTTCCTTCCTTCCTTCCTTCCTTCCTTCCTTCCTTCCTTCCTTCCTTCCTTCCTTCCCCTCCCTCCCTCCCTCCCTCCCTTCCATCTTCTTTCTTCATCCCTTCCTTCCTCCCTCCCTCCCTCACCCCTTCCTTCCTCCCATCCATCCTCCCTCCCTTCCTTCCCCACTCTCTTCATTCCTTCCTCCCTCCCTCCTCACTCACTCACTCACTCACTCACTCACTCCAACTTGGCATCCAGCAGTGTTCCTGACTTCAGTTCACACATTATTTTGCCAAACTGTGCCTGAGGTTCTTTATGAAAACAGGCTCAGCTTCTCACTGAAAGGAGAATTAACATTTTCAGGTTATAGGCTACGCAGTTGCCAAACCTTCTGGGTGCATGCTTGCTAAATCAGAACGCAATTCCTATTTAACTTAGCTCTGGGTCACTGCAGGGCAAGTGTGGAAAACGGCATTATTTTTTTTCAATCTGTCCCAGATCTATCATCCCTCTTATCTTGAGACTCTGCATTGGAGACATGTGGACGGTTCGCTTGCTGATCTTCCTCTGGCTGAAATGCAGAATGGGCCTCTGGGGCAAGCAAACTAAGAACAACAGAATGACAGACTTGGAAGGGACTTTGGAGGTCTTCTAGTCCAGCCCCTTGCTCAAGCAGGAGACCCTATACCATTCCAGACAAATGGCTGTCCAGTCTCTTCTTAAAAACTTCCAGTGTTGAAGCACCAACAACTTCTGGAGGCAAGTTGTTCCACTGGTTAATTGTCCTCACTGTTAGGAAGTTTCTCCTTAGTTCCAGGTTGCTTCTCCCCTCCCATTAGTTTCTATCTGTTCCTTCTTGTCCGGCCTTCAGCTGCTTTGGAAAATAGTTTGAGCCCCTCATCTTTGGGGCAGCCCCTTAGATATTGGAAGACTGCTATCATGTCACCCTCAGTCCTTCTTTTCCATAAACTAGACATACACAATTCCTTTTCATATGTTTTAGCCTCCAGTCCTCTAATCATCTTTGCTGCTCTTTCCTGAACTCTTCCCAAACTCTCAACATCTCTTTTATAATATGGTGTTCAAAACTCATTTAAGTAGACAAAACAGTTGGAGAACTATGCAACAAGTTAGCAACTCTTGTTTGAATTCCCGGGGAGTTTTCTACCATGAGGTCCTTTCCAGGTTTGTGGATGTAGACGTGTTGGCTTCAGGAAGCCTAATTGCTTTCTAGTTTTGCCCTGGGAGAAAAAAAAAATCAACAACCACCATGTCTAATGTATAGTTTCTTCAAAGCTGTAGCAACTCAGCCATGTAGCCATGCAACCTGGGGTTAAATTCAGCATCAGTTCCACATGTCACAACGGATACTTCCACCAAGCGTGGAAGTTGACAGAGGTGTGTTTGGTGGGGGAAATGAATATGGATTCTCCACGTGGTGAAAGCTGAAAATAACTGGAGAGCAAGGATAGGGGATCTGCAGGGATTTTCTGCCCACAAAAAAGTCAGAAAAGCCATGAAATACCTCCAGGGGAAGATTGGATTATAAAATAAAGTGAACTAGCAGAAATGGCAAAGTTGACCGGTTCTAATCAGAGGAAAAAAAACAAAACAGGAAAGATTTTTTTTTTTTTTTTGAAAGACCGGAAACCTTAAGGGCAACTTTGGTGAAAGAAAGAAAAAAATAGTTGAATTTAATGATTTCTGAACTAAAGAGGGACAAAGAGATTATTTCATAAAAAGAAGGAAGGAAGGTAAAATTGTATGGTTTTTTTTCCCTATCTTTCACTGTTTCCTATTTTCTGTCTTTGCTTTTGTGTGTTTTTCTTGCCTTGGCAGAAAATATAGATAGAGGAAGGGAAGGGAAGGGAAGAGAAGAGAAGAGAAGAGAAGATCGAACAGAATGGAATGGAATAGAACGGAACAGAACAGAATAGGAGTTGGAATAGAATAGAGTAAAGTAGAGTAGAATAGAATAGAATAGAATAGAATAGAATAGAATAGAATAGAATAGAATAGAAATTGGAATAGAAATTGGAATAGAATGGAATAGAAATTGGAATAGAATAGAGTAGAGTAGAGTAAAGTAGAGTAGAGTAGAGTAGAAGAATAGAATAGAATAGAATAGAATAGAATAGAATAGAATAGAATAGAACAGAACAGAACAGAATAGAACTTCATTACGTTTCATTACCCAACTAGGTAACATCATCAGCGCTCGAAGGGAGAGGGGTCTGCTCTCTTGATAGTTCCTTAATAGGAGGGAAGGAACTTGGCAGGAAGAACCACCAACACAGGCAAGGAACAAAAACATAGAACAAGCTGGAGACAGTAGAATAATGAAGGCATCACTTTCTCATCCCTTCAGCTTTTCCATTGTCTCTCCACCTTTCAGCTACAGAGGTGTCTCAGGAAACGGTGGAGACCCTAATGCAGAAATTCAAGGAGAGTTTTCGGACCAACACACCCATCGAGATTGGCCAGTTGCAGCCCGCTGTGCGTAGTGCCTCTGTCGGGAGGCGGAAACGCAGGAACCGGCATCGAGGTAAGCGTACAGTTTTGAAGTAAAGGGGGAAAAAAATGATTGGAAAATCAATTGCTTTGTCAGTCAGTTGAACAGAAACCCTTAACAAAAATGAATTGATGCTGAGACTCTGGAAAGCGTGCAGAGAAGAGCAACAAAGATGGTTAGGGGACTGGAGGCTAAAACATATAAGGAACAGTTGCAGGAATTGGGTATGTCTAGTTTAATGAAGAGAAGGACGAGGGGGGACATGATAGCAGACTTCCAGTATCTCAGGGGCTGCCCCAAAGAAGAGGGAGTCAAGCTATTCTCCAAAGCACCTGAAGACAGGACAAGAAGCAACGGATGGAAACTCATCAAGAAGAGAAGCAACCTGGAACTAAGGAGGAATTTCCCGACAGTGAGAACAATTAACCAGTGGAACAACCTGCCTCCAGAAGCGGTGGATGCTCCAATACTGGAAGTTTTTAAGAAGAGACTAGACAGCCATTTGTCTGAAATGGTATAGGGTTTCCTGCTAAACGGGCTTAGACTAGATGACCTCCAAGGTCCCTTCCAGTTCTGTTACTCTGTTATTCTCTTCCACATCACTTCTATTTGAAATGTTCTTCGGCTCATGCTTAATTGGCCCTCGGGCATGTGAGTGATTGGAACTCCATGGAACATTAAGGTTAAGTGATGATTTAGCAACTTACAATGTTTGCAGTTTGCATCCAATTGCAAACATAAACCCCTTTGCCTCATTAATCCTTCAGAATCCCATTCCCTCTCCCCTTTTTTCCGCCCCCTTCTTCTTCTTCTTCTTCTTCTTCTTCTTCTTCTTCTTCTTCTTCTTCTTCTTCTTCTTCTTCTTCTTCTTCTTCTTCTTCTTCTTCTTCTTCTTCTTCTTCTTCTTCTTCTTCTTCTTCTTCTTCTTCTTCTTCTTTTTAAACCTCTCTAAATGAAATTGTCCATTTGGGATGCATTTATTTTCTCCTAACAGCCATGCGATGGTGACACCAGCCGAGAATGAATTCAGCACTGCTTCCATGTAGTGACAGTCAACCCCCCTGATCCCTGATGGAGCTGCGTGTAATTATTTTTACAGGGAATTTAATTAATGCTGAGCTTCCGCGAAAGATTGCTGTCCTTATTAACATCAAATAGTAATAATAATAATATTAACAATTAAGATTAATAAATATGATGGAAGATGCGAATGGAGGCCAGCGCCAACCAAAGAACGGGCAGGTGTGGCTTCACGTTGTCATGCATATAATAATAATAATAATAATCATCATCATCATCATCATCATCATCATCATCACCATCATCATCATCATCAGAAGCATTTGATATCTACAAAGGGCCAACTGCAGCGAAAGAACTGGTAGCTGTGCTTTTACATTTTTGAAATAATAATAATAATAATAATAATAATAATAATTGCTCTGGGATTTTAGAATTCAACAGACAAGTCCCGGACGCATGATACCTCAGACTTAACAACGGTCAATAAGAAAGACCAAAAATAAGTCTGGATAAGGGATGTGGCAGTACCTGGAGACAGCAGGAAGAACTGGAGAAAAATCACAACATACCAATGCATTTATTTTTTATTTGTACCTGCCTTTATTATTCTTACAGAGAACTCGAGGTGATGAACACGACAAATATAAGGAAAAGAACAGTGGCAAAAGAAAGGAAAGGTAGTACTAAGAGCTAGATGCCTCGCTCTTTGCAATTCCAAAACATCCGGAGTACCACTTGAATACCATCGATAGAGTCAACATCCCCGTCGGTCAGTTGCAAAAGGCAGTTTTAAGAGTGCAACAGAGTTGGAAGGGACCTTGGAGGTCTTCTAGTCGAACCCCTTGCTCAAGCAGGAAACCCTATACCGTTTCAGACAAATCACTGTCCAATCTCTTCTAGAAAACTTCCAGGGATGAAATAAAATACCCACAACTTCTGAAGGCAAGCCATTCCACTGGACCATTGTTCTAACGGTCAGGAAATTTCTCCTTGGTTCTAGGTTGGTTCTCTCCTTGATCAATTAACAGAATAATAGAACTGGGAGGGACCTTTGAGGTCTTTTAGTCCAGCCCCCCCCCTGCTCAGGTAGGAAAGCCTATACCATTTCACACAAATGGCTGTCCAATCTCTTCTTAAAAACCTGCAGTATTGGAGAACTCCCACTTCTGGAGGTAAGTTGTTCCACTGATTAATTGTCTAACTGTCAGGAAATTTCTCCTTAATTCCAGGTTGCTTCTCTCCTTGATTAGTTTTCATCTATGCTTCTTGTCCTGCCTTCAGGTGCTTTGGAGAATAGCTTGACTCCCTTTTCTTTGGGGCAGCCCCTGGGATACTGGAAGACTGCTATCATGTCCCCCCTCGTCCTTCATTTCATTAAACTAGACATACCCAATTCCTGCAACCGTTCTTCATACGTTTTAGCCTACGGTCCCCTAAAACAGCTTGTATCATGTGATGGGACCTTGAATGCCATCCATAATTGCTTCCTTGTGTTCTTTCAAATTTCTCGTTGGGTCATCCATGACACTTCCCGACTGTCCTATCTTCAGCCAACTTTTTTTCTCCAGAAAAAAGTTGTTCTTTGAATTTTCCCAACATCAGACTTTTATCCAAAGGACTCTCCTTTGTCTGATCTGTCCCCAACATTCAAGCCATAGACTCATTATTAGTGCTTCTAGTGAATTGTGGGGGGGGGGGGAATCTTACAGGCTACCAGAAGCATGCCAGAATGCAGACACAAGGTGATGTGGATTCAGGCAAGAATTGGTTAAAGGTTTACAATTTTGTTTTGAACAAGCTGGTCTCTGCGAGAAAGCCTGAAGGAAAATAACACAAAGAAACTCCGCTGAAGAGCAGCTGGTAGATTTTTTTATCTTCGAAGTAAAATGCTGCAGGCATACAAAAAAAAAAACAACCAAACTGGAATAAGGTTGTATAAACAGAGGTGTAGAATTAAAATCACATGAAGTATTAGTACCGCTTTATAATGCTTAGTAAGGCCACCCCCGGGATTCTGCATCCAATTTTGGTCACCTCATTACAAAAAAGATGTTGAGATTTTGGGGGGAAAATGCAACTAAGATGATTAAAGGCCTGGAGACAGGAACGTATGAAGAACGGTTGCAGGAATTGGGTATAGCCGGTCTAGAAGGTCTAGGGAGGGACATATCCAGTATTTGAGGGACTGCCCCCCCCAAAAAGAGGGGGGTCAATCTATTTTCCAATGCCCCAGAGGGCAAGACAAGAAACAATGGATGGAAAGTAATCAAGGAGAGAAGCAACCTGGAATTAAGGAGAAATTTCCTGACAGTGAGGACAATTAACCAGTGGAATTGCTTCCCTCCAGATGTTGTGGGTGCTCCATCACTGGAGACTTTTAAAACAGGGGTCTTCAAACGGGGCCCTTTTATGACTTGCGGACTTCAACTCCCAGAATTCCTTAGCCATCAGGGGGGAACTATGGCCCCTTCATGACTTGTGGGCTTCAATTGCTGGCTGAGGAATTCTGGGAGTTGAAGCCCACAAGTCATAAAAGGGTCCAGTTTGAAGACCCCTGCTTTGAAAAGGATGCTCTGGGACCAAGCAGTGTTCCATTTGTACTTTGAATATGGAAGAAGTGAGGAAGGCTGGAAGAGAGTCGTTAGAGATTCAGATGAGGCTGAGCATCTGGCACAGATGTTGCCTCCCTAGCTGTCACGGCTCTGCCCTTTAGCTCTCTTTCAGGGCAGCAGAGGAGCTCGGAGCTGTTTGCACAGTCCCGTCTCCCTCGGCTCGGGCACCTGTGCCTCGGCGCCACTCCCCTCCCCTCTCCTTCCCTTCCCCAACCTTTTAAAACCCACACAGGTTCTAGCTGTCACGGCTCTGCCCTTTAGCTCTCTTTCAGGGCAGCAGAGGAGCTCGGAGCTGTTTGCACAGTCCCGTCTCCCTCGGCTCGGGCACCTGTGCCTCGGCGCCACTCCCCTCCCCTCTCCTTCCCTTCCCCAACCTTTTAAAACCCACACAGGTTCTACACAATCAGAAAATGCAGGATCCCTGTCGGCAGCTTTCGAAAGATGTGCAGCCTGGATAATTTAACCTGTCAGCACCATCCATCACGGCGATGCACGCGGGAAGTGTGCAGGGCAAAGAGACTCCCGTGTTGCAGGCTGGGCTTCTCCAGAAGAGAAACTGTTCCTTCCTCCAGGGCATTTGGTGGTGTCACATACACACAGTTGGCATTCTGACCCATCACTCACTAACCAGCCCGTGACCTTACCCTTAACTGATCAATTACCTTAATCAAGCAGACATTAATGCACCTTCCCGCACATGGCTATTTACGAGTTGAGTGCTCCTCCGGCTAAACAGAAATCTCAGATTTGATTTATTTATTTTTGGGGGGTGGATGGGAGAATTGGGGGAGGGTTGTTTCCTGCAAGGGGAAAAAAAAACCCGCCTCTATTTATGGCAAATAGCAGCTCCGTGGGGAGGAAAGCTGGCGTAGTAGTGAGATGTTAAGTTGATTGGATTTTTCTAACTGGTTTTACTGTAGCAGCGGTTCTCCGAAGAGGCCTGGTGATGTTTGGGGGCTGGGGCTGGACGGAGCTGCAGGGATCCAGGAGAAATAAATGGAACCGTGGGGCTGCTTTCCTGGCTGATCCCTGGAGGGAAAAAAAATGGAGCTAGCATCCCTCAGACGCCCTCTCCCCACACAGACACAGATTGTGTAGGCTGCAGTTGGTGCATGAAATGTGGCTTCCTCTGTATTTTTAGCCTAAAAGAGGAACAGAAGGGAAGCTGTGCTCCTCTCAGCCTGAGAGACAAAAATGGGGTTGGTGCTTTTTCCTCTGACATCCTCAAATATATGAAGTTGTTTCCCTTTGTTATCTGAAGAGAAGCACTGATGATGTTGCTCAGGTTGGGTCATAAAACGTCTGCAAGAAAAAATCCAAACTTAGAGAGCATCAAGTACTTTAGAGTCACCCTCCTCCTCCTCCTCCTCCTCCACCACCACCACCACCACCACCACCTTTCCACAAGCTTCACTCCTTTCTAGCATTGATGATGTTACCTAGTTGGGTAATGAAACATCTGCAAGAAAACACCAAGTTCAAACAGCATCAAGG